TATATGGTGTATTTGTAAAAAACAACGCTGTACGAGACGCTCGCAAGAGAATTTTAGTCAATGTTGGTAAACAGAGCCAAAGTACTTAGTTAAATTCCTAAGCTTACAGGCAGCCGGAATATTTCTACTGTCCATTAGATCAATAATCGCTAGTTAACCATAGAATCACAATCTCGTGTAAAAGTCTTCCACCAGTCTAATATGATTTCGCTCTATTCTCACTAAGCAATGCACTTTGAGGTTCTCAATTTACTTCAAAGTGACAAGGTGTAAGTCCCTAGTTTCGAATTCATTGAATGGAGGTATTCCAACAGCCAGTACCAACAAAACACCTATAAAATACGAATAAACCATACCTTGTAAATCCAAATTTTCTTCCGGCGAGTCTTCTTGTCAAGCTTGATAATACCAATGGCGCCAAAGTGTTCTTCTATCTGACTCTCTGTCACGTCTTCAGACATTCCGGTAATAAATATCGTGTCCGGCATATCGTGCTCTTGGGAGCCCCCGTGTGATCCACCTCCTCCACCTCGAGAGCCTCCAAAATTACCACCGCTGGTGTAGTCGACGCCCCCCCGACCTCCACCACCCCCGCCACCATAGCTATCACGGCCGCCTGCACCGCCATAACTGTCTCGGCCGCCGCTACGGCTGTAAAACGACAACATGAAGGTGGATAAAGTATGATTTAATATCTGTTGGGCCTGCTGAGGGAACGTACAACGATGCTATGGATACTGCAATAGAAACATTTTCAATAATGTAAAGGCCGCTAAGCAGTCATCTTCAGTTTCAAGACAGGTAACGAAATCTTCAAAGATTTAATTTCATTAAATGAATTCAAAGACGATAACAACAATAATGGGGCATAAAGAAAAGAAGCCTTTGAATTTCATAGCTGGCTGAATAAATAGAATTCGGACTTTGAGTCGGGCTTCTACTAAGTCGGAAAATACATAACGACAAACAAAAATATAATTAAAATAGCGTTAGAAAGTCATGGGAAGTAACTTACCCACCACCGCCGCCATGATTATCCCCCCGACGGTTGTAGCCACCACTTCGGCGGTCTGGTCCACTTCCGTAGCCACCGCCTCCGCTGTATCCCCCGCCGCCACGTCCGCCACTTTCGTAGTTGTCGCTTGCGCCGCCTCTTCCTCCACCGCCACCGTAACCTCCACCATTACCTCCTCCCGGAGTATAACTGCCGCTGCCTAAAACACCACGAATCCGAGGGATGTTAGACAGATCAATGCAGGATGCTTGCGCGTATGTCGACGCTTTTTGAGTCATCGCAGCGAGGGCGACAAAAATGTAAAATGATGGAAGAAATTGTACTATCATCTTTATCCTTAGAAAGTTGAGTAGAAAAGAGTGAAGCACGTATTGTTTCAATAGCAGGTAGCAGGATACGAATAAGGGTAACAGTTGTTTAGAAAATAGTAATTGTAGCCGTCCAATAGAAAAGATGATACCATGCGTTTACATTGATCCAGGAAACACCCCGGAAAAAGTGTCATAATTAAAAACTCCTTAGCACTTAGCACCACTGCGCATAAGCACTGATCGAACTCATTGACACCACCGAAAACAAAATAGGACGTCAATCATAGCTGGGTGTCCTTCGGTGGAGGTCATCATAAAATTGTACTCGATGCATTAGAACGAAGGATCCGACGGTTCCTACTTCAGCCGCAAAAATACTTTTTTTGATAAGCAGCTTTTACAACGGATCTGATTGCATTGTTACAAAAAGAATTTGGCCGCTGTCATTTCAACTGGTTTTGAAAGTACGACTTCTGTGAAGTAGTCTTAAGAACGCAATCGGTGCTTTTAATCTGATCGATATAAAACACATGCGTCGCACGCGCCATGTTGCTGCTGTCCAACAGATCATCAACTCTTTTGGCAATTTCCCTTTCGTTAAACACTATGTTTACGGATCTGTTACTATTGTAACCTCAATGCACATATCCCGAGCAACGAATTCATTGAGTTTACTTAAACTAAAAACGCTAACGCTACACTGACGCTCATCTCCTACCATTAAACAGACAGAAATAAGTATTCTGCTAACCACCGGTAAATTACACGCGTCGTCAAAGTTGTACATTAAACGCAATCTGATACTTGTATAATTATTTGTATGGCTGACTAAAGCAACGCCCGAGGGTTGGGCAATTTCAATTTTGGATGGAAATTGGTGAGAAATACGAGCCGTTAACTTAGCCATCCAAGTGTCCAAGCGCTACCCCTTATGGAGCATTCGGTCTTCTAACGCGGTGGAGACCATTCTTCGTCCTAAACAGTCTCGTTTGTTTCGAAAATTTGTCGACATTTTTTTAGCAAACGCGTTTTCGAAGCAATTCACTAATAACATGGTTGTGGAGTCAAGCCTGCGATTTAAGCAAGACTACGAGGGTAACGGGTTTTACTAAATTATTTGCGTCAAAGACCCTTATGGGATGTTGATCAAAGATGGACACCTTGTCATTGAGCCAATTCGACAAAGGACTGCAGTCGTTAATAAGGCAGAGATCTTCATATTTTTACCGTCGACATTTCTCTTGCCTGTTGTCCCCAACTTTGCTCTCTCTCTCTCTCTCTCGCGGTAATGAGTTTCCTGAATTGACCTCCGTCTCCAATCATAGTAAAGTTGCCAACCGTGTTTTTCTGTCTTTACCAGCAAAACATTACACATACCTGACGGGGCTTACCTCACCTCCCGTGACATCATTGTGGACAATCACTGAGTGGGTCCATGTTTCGAGTAGTACCTTCTTTGTCAGTTTCTCTGTTGGAACAAGACTAGATAAAATGTTTTGCGGACCAGACCATGAACCATATTTTATTTTTATGTGATATGATGGCGATACATCTCAAATAGATCGCAAACACTCGATAGCTAAAACGCAGCGCAGCTGTTTAATGTCTTTAGATACGACTGAAGATGTACCTCCTGTGGCAATTCAAGATATTTGGCCATCGCAAACAACCTACAGCCACTCGCTTACAGGGCGCCAAATTAGCTAACGTCGTTAGAAAAATGGGGCAGGAGGGAGAAGATTTTGACACGTTCAATAAAGTTTTATTGAGAATGAACAACAGTCAGGTAATGGCAGCGTCTGTCTATTAATAAATTATTAATTGTGCTGGTTCATGGTCCAGTTGTAATAGCAAACCTGATTCGTCCTCAAGGACGTCAGGAGTACAGACACAGACACATGTGTGTGTATGTGTGTGTGTGAGTTAGAGGAGAGTCAATCAATCACAAAGGAAGAGTGACACCCCATTGAGCAACCTCACGTACCTCCTCCCTGCGATCCCTAGAAGTGAGACAGTACAACACAACACCGACAATGTTGGTTCCAGTTGAACTTTACTTACCCGTTACCGGCGTGCGCTCAGTACTCGTTTGTGACTTATTTCAATGAAAATGAAAAGTTTCCTAGCGACAGTATTAACAAGTGCAGAAAAGATCAAATCATACCAATATTATTAAAAATCGGGACAACAAAATGCAAACATTTTGTAGTTATCGTTGAATGGCGCACGACCGGCCAGTTGAAAGGCTTTATTCAGCTCGGATTATTCGAAAATACGTAAGTAAGCCCGAATCATACATACTCGCCGAAAAATATTGTCAACAAGGTAAGATGCCCAGCTGACAAAAGTACAGTAGATTGACCAGTCACATGTAGACAATTATCTAAATCACTCCTACTGTGTTTATAGATACAAATGACGAGAACAAAAACAAACTATACAGGATAGAATATACCTGATGAACACAATTTATAACGATACATTATTTTTGAGCTGTGTTTTTTCCTTATATTAATTTTCTAATACGCAGGGCAGAAGCAGCGGCGTATTCATAGCATTTAGAAGAGCTGAGTAAGAGCCGCTAAGCAATAAATCGGGCGATGAACGCGAGCATTGTATCGTCTAAAGAGCGCACATGGTTTGGGTTGAATCAGGAGACCACGCGTGGCTCTAGCCCTGAAGTGTTGTTTCCTTATTTCGAAATAATCATGAGTATCATTATCTAGGCATTAGATTTAATTGAAGTGTTGACATTTTCTAACAATGCATTTTAAAACAATGCGAGGCATTTATAAGGAATATTTAGTCCTTTTATACGTATCGTTTCTAGATTTTCACACACCTTGTCTATGTACATATATCTCGCTACTGTCATGTTATTTTGGTCTTGAGAACTACCGCCAATCAAGCGACCGGCTTGAGCAAGCAGAAGAACTGATAGCGATGGCGTCATGATGTAGGATCTATGGCGCAAGTTTACAATAATGCATTCGTTTTCAGCACCCTTAATTTACACCGGCGGAGCACTAACTAGATGATGTAGCCGTTCAATTGACATGTAAGTCTACTTACGTAGGCGCCGTAACCCTGATCACCGCCCGCGTACATCTTGCCACAAAGTTGTCAATCCAGGCCGTGTCTCTAACACAAACGTTTATACAGACGAACTTGCAATTCGCGGCGCACACAAACCGCTCGTTAGACCACAGCGAACTAGCAGCGCCCACTGGGATGGAGTCAACCATACTGGAGCAGACGACTCAACGAATCAATACCCAAAACAATCCGCCTCCCCAACGGTACAATGCTGCACCGCTAGATGCAGCAGGAAGATCCTCACAGAATCGGACGAATCGAATTTGTTCAAATAACTAAGTGAAGATCTCTTGATTTCTTGTACATTGTGTTTACTTTGTTTCTGAAGCGTTGTTCAATTCAAGTAAAAAATTGTCGATTCTTTATTGATTTTGCGATAACTATTACGGTTACACTGTTACAAATAGATTAGCCTTGTCGCCATCTCCAATGGGCGATATAGTTAATGAAGATACTTATCCTGCAAATATTGGTACAGCTCGTCCAGTAATAATGAGTCTAAAGGAGATCCTATTGATGTTATAATTTTTATTTGTTTTTTCTATTTACAACCTCTTTGAATACACTTGTCGAATTTTAATAATAGGTAATGCTGCTTTATCAGATAGGAACTTACAACAATTAAAGCGTATCGTAGCAAGCTACTACGTTAGAAAACTGTGCCTACAACGGCGTTACATTTATCCTTAGATGAATATGAGATTGCCTTACTATACTTAACTGCAGCAAAAATTCGAAATGCACATTTGGCTAGTTATACTGACTGAGGCAGCATCATTCCAGTTGTTGAAGCATCGAATAAAGCAGGCGTATTTTTGCGTCTTTGGTTGATTTCTTACAATTATTTGCGAACGTTACTACATGAAAATATGTGGACCAAAAATATCGGCGAATACAGTATTTTAGTGCATTGACGGTAATTTAAGGGAATTCCAGTGCACATAATTCAATAATCACAAAAAAGCTATATAATACGGTAACAAGCTAGTATTTCTATATTTTTGCTCACTTCCGTTAGAACAGAATCGATCAGGATGTTCATGGATTTGGTTGTCTGAACGCATCTAGGTACCGCTGCTAGATGACCAAATAAAAGGCCAATGAGCTCTCTTACTGGTAACTCACTAACTATATAGCCTATGCATGGGTGGTATTTGACAACCGAGTCAGTTGATTTAAATAAAATATTTTCCGTCAAGTTTTATGCCCTATTTAACAAGTGACTATTTCTCATTTAGTTGCAAAGAGCCGTATAGTGATTCTAGTGCTTTACTACTGCGCTAAATATTTCACAGCTTTGTCAAAAGAAATACAGCCTGTGTTGACAACCATCAGATCGGTATCGACAGCCATAAGCTGGTTGAGTTACACCTGAATCGAACTTCAACGCTAAATACGAGTGCGAAATCGAAAATCGTGTCAACAGATAAAGTTCTACAGTTTAATCTTTTTGAAAACGTGACTGAGTTGTAAATTTCATCTCTGCAGTAACCAAAATGAGTTCACACTCGGCTGGCCATTCAACAAAAGGTCCTAAGGTTTGTGTAAATAAAAAAAGCATTAAGTAAAAATCGAGCTGTGCCTATGAATTCGAAATGATACCAATAAAGATTATATCCGCTGAAGCACCAACTTATGGATATCTGTCGACGAAAAAAATGAGCAGCATTGTTTGACGACAAAGCTGATTGTTAAGTTGTAGTTTTTAAATAGGAAATTTTTATATAGCTCGAGCTGTGGCTAGCGCACAAATTATAAGCTGCGGAACTTCAATAGGACAGCAAAACTGCTCTTAGTTCGGTTTAAATGCATGCAGTTGAGCTCAAAAGATAAACTACAGGGTTGTCCTAAAGGTAACACAAATCGCAAATGCTTTGATTTCATATTCAACTTTAATTTTCATCTTCTAAATTTCAAACAGAATGAATCTCTCGTAAAACAACATGTATCCTAACAACCCAAAATCAGAAAATCCAAAATCGGAAATCAACTGTTGAAAATAATAATGAATAAGTTAAAAAATAATTGTTACTGTACATTGTTAAAATAGCTGTTAATTTGCATACACAATGTACACGTTTATGCGACAATATAGATTAACGCCGTAGCAAATAAGCTTATTCAAGGATAGATAGTGGTGATTAGAACTGTCGATAATATTTGCCCTAAAACATAACAATTTCATTTATAACAAGTAAATAAACTTACGTACAGGATCGAAATGGCTTCAGCTAAATGCCTAAATCGGCTGACACTTGACTTCAACTTAATCACATCAAGTGGACCCTGTAAATATTAGCTGAATAACTAACTCGTGAAATTGTTGAATTTGATTGTCCATAGGCGGATGTTCCTTCAGTAAAGGAATGGCGTGAGCAACTGTCGAAGATGGAAATCCCTCGAGCTGGGGCCACTCGTCTTATTATGAACTACCTCGTTACCGAAAGCTTCAAAGATGCGGCAGAGAAACTCCGTGAAGAAAGCGGACTTCCGCTTTCACCGGGTAATACTGACGTTTCAGCATCGCTTGACGAACGTATTCGAATACGCGATGCGATCCATGGCGGGCGGATTCTTGAAGCACGTAGATTGCTCGACGAACTGCATCCTCGGTTACTCAGTACGGACCGTCAGCTACTATTTCGCATCCAACAGCAGCAATTAATCGAACTGATTCGCGAAAACCGCACTGAGGAAGCTCTGGAGTTTGCCCAACAGGAATTAGCGCCACGAGTTGAAGAGGCTTCTGCACCACTTGGTGAAATGGAACGGACACTTGCATTGCTAGCCTTCGATAATCCCGCTTCTTCCCCTTTTGGAGAATTATTGCATGTATCCCACAGACAAAAGGTAAGCTGACCACAACGGCGATATTGAAAAAAGAACAACTATCAACTTTCACCAGTTCCATGGGGTTTATCGATTTTTTTAGCTTTAAATATAACGAGATCCAACTTTGCAACACCCCTATAATTAACCTTCATGTTAACTAGCATATTCCTAGTACCATTTTTAGCTTGCCACAAAACCGTAGAGACGAGTGTGCTTGCTGGAAACATAAACCATCAGCCTGTGAAGTTAATTTCTTCTCAAAATTTTACATCGATATTAGGTATATGTTGTGTGTATGTAGACTGTTAATTTAAGATGAAATAGTTTTAACAATAGAACCTATTCCGATACAATAAATATGACACACCGTATGTTTCTAACAATAAAATTGACCCTTTAATCTCTCTTCTAACAGGTGGCGTCCGAGGTTAACGCGGCCATTCTCGAGATGGACGGAGCTGAGTCAACAATTCCGTCATTAGTAGTCGCTGTGCATATGTTATTATGGGCTCAAAAGTTGCTCGACGACAAAAAAATAGAATACCCAAAAATGACGGACATCGCAGAGGCCACAGTCTCGATGCATCCACCAAAATAATTTGAAATATTCAACTAAACCTGTCACCTTAACTGGACGTGCTTTCGGCATAATCGAGTTAAGCCGATGATCATAATAACAATTATACTGCGCAATGTACATAGGGTATGTTTGGAACAAGTGGCGGCAATACTGCACGAATTAATACGATAGTCCAAGTGAAAGCATTAGAGCGGTTATAGAACCAGAAAACTAACGAAACTATGTAATGTTGTCAATGCAAGCAATCAATAATAATTAGCAAACGATAACACTTATAATATGATGGTGATTATGGTTATGATTATTATTATTATTCTCATTATCAATAAATATTGTCTTAATAACCTAGAGGGCACCAACTGATAGCTAAAATAGCTGCTTGAAGCTGTATCAGTGTGACTCGAAAGCACAAGTAGAGTAAATGAATGTATGGAGTGGAATTGAAAATAAGGCAAACGATTAAAAAAATCTATATAGTTTGAATATCTTTAAATAGTTGCCTTATTTATGTACACAATCCTGGAATGCGCATATTCAGTTAAATAGTAATAGTATACAGGGGTGCTAAGAGAACATATAATGGTATTATTTTTAAGCTTTATGACGGAAAAAGGAGTAAATGAGGTTCCCATTTTTTTAAGTTTCTCAGTGAATTGTTACACTGAATTTCGTACCATGCATTGAATCTCTTAATGAGTAACATCTCGGCAGTCGGGACGACCAGCGTTCACAGTCACAGTACTTGACCTAATTTAGTATACACATAGAGACTCATGCAATATGACAATTCCTTTTATGAAATAAATCAGTTGTGTAGATGAGCCTGGAAATGCGAGTGTGTCTGTGTGTGAGTGTGTCTATGTGGGCGTGGGCGTGTGTGTGTGTCTATGTGGGCGTGTGGATGTGTGTTTGTGTGTGTGTGTGTTTCTGTGAGACTTCTCTTATACAACAAGATCCTGCGCTGGCTCGTCAACGATCCTTGAAGCGACGTGTGTTACCCGGTGATACTCCACAATTAATATAATTGTCTCTGGCCGAACTTTTTGTATTCATGGATTGCGCCATTGTTAAGTGGATATTACGAAGTCGTTAACTATTAGTGAACAAACAATACTAGTGTAACTGGACGATTTCTTAGCATAAATTTAGCAGTTGATTAAGTTCGAAAGAAATATTCAAATAAAAACGTTTTCTGAATGATAAGTAACCAGGCTTCTTACGGCGCAAAAAATGATTCTTAATCTGTATAACTATTTGATGTTTTTTTAAGCACGCAATAAATAATAGATACGATCCCAAGTTTTGATGCTTCCTGAACTGAAATTGCACACATTTGTTTGGTATAAGCTAATTGCTCAGATTTAATCTATTAGAAATCAATAGATTATCAATTTGCGTGTGTTATCGATATACTCAAGGTCCTGTGACGACGGAACCTCTATATACTTGAAGTTGTGATCACCTTCAAGTAATTCAAGCAGATGAATACCCGCTCAATGTAAGACATGCATATTCTGGGAGACTTCAAAAATACATTGTTTTCAAATAACGAAGTCTAAGGGATACGCATTTTGATTTCGACTTACAGATGTCTAAGCAAATAATTAGACAACTCCTATATAGTCTAAATGATTATTTTTGTCAAAGAGCGGAGTAGTTTTGCTTTGTTTATGCCAATATTTGCAAGTTCCATTAGCTACTTAATAAATTGCGGGTTTTTGAAATTAAGAGCAAATAAACCTTATATTGACTATGAAAGTATCTAATATATTAATAACAAATTTTTAATAATTGACATTAACGTGAACCATGCATGGTAAGTTATAGGAAACGATTTCTAGAAATTATAGAAACCCAGCAAACAATATTCATCTTAGTGAAGATATAGCTTTTTGAAACCATTAAGAACTTCTTTTTAGGAAATTGGGCTATAGACGATTAAAGGAGATGTAGGTATATACAAAGTATACTAGAAGAAACTTTAAAAACGTTGTTAAGTAAGTGCTAGTGCTTAACTTAACTTATGAACTTATACAAATTCCATACTGGTATTCTGTCTATTAATCAATCTTAGTAGTTTTAACAGCTTGTATATTAAATGCGCAATAGAACATTAGGTGTTATGTAAAATAACATTACTAAATCAGTTAGACGATCCGTACCGTTTAGTGGATCAAATGCTGTAGTTGTTAACGTTAAAATACACAAGAATAGGGTCACTGAAGTATTTGAATTATCAAGAAAGTTATTCAGTTTATAATAATTCACCCATCGTATTAAAAAATAGACCATTTTTAGTAGATATGATTTTCGCTTAGTTCCAGGAAAGCACTTTCTTCACACTTGTTCTGGCAGCTTGTGTCGACTGTAATAAATCTGGGTAAGCGAGAGTATAGTCTCACTGGAGATACGCCAAGCGTATAGGAAGTTTGATTCTATTATTATTCTAGAATTATTCTAACCTTCTTTAGTGTAAGGCTCTATAAAGCGGTCTATATTTTGTAAGCTATATTAAAAGCATGTTACAATTGTTGAATAGTCTAGTTAGAAAAATATTTATTTCATCACAACCATACTTTCGTGTTGAAAAATTGTTATTTAAGGAAATAGTGTCAAACCCTTTTTAATCAAAAGGTCATCGGGCACGATTATCAAACAGAACATCCTAATAGGTCACAAGGTCAATTTCTCTGTATATTAATTTAATATTGAGTATACAGTTAATATGCTACAGGCTAGTTCCGTAGGGACTGGAGCGTTTATATGTTTGAGTTGTATAGAGTTAAGTTAAACTCCTATGTACTAAAATATTTAGTAAAAAAACTAAGTAAATTAGTTAACAACTCATTAACTTCTTCCTACAGAAAGCGCTTCATTACGTGGTGTAAACTAGATATACTCGTTTGACTTGATTATTGGAACTAACTTGCAATGAACGTATTGATTATTATTAATAACTACATATAGATATATAGTGTGGAAAATTGTCAATTTATTGAACAATGAGCTATAATACTAAATTAGATAACCGTTAAATGATGGACATCCCTTCTACATTCACAACCGTGAAGCGGTGTACATTTTGCACAGGTGACAATGACGACTTTGTACATAGACATAGCACTACCTATGCTAACGTCGGCCAAGAACATACACAATGATATATGATATATATATATATATATATATATATAGCATTAGGTAAAAAACCTATAAGGAAACACATTTCAGTCTGATATTAGGTTTTCACGACACAGAAAACAAAGATGATAGAAGAACTCCAGTTCAAAATTCGATAAGCACATGACGTTGATAGCATTGAGCGTTCTATTTACCAAGACAGTCGTGCTTTGAATATCCACACGTGAAGGCAACAGTAATGAATATAGTTGGTATAGGGTGATCGGAAGACTATAGTGCTCACTAGATTTTGAAAGCAATAACCCTTATGTATGACCCATCAATTATAGAACAGACGCAAAGAGAACATTCAGATCTTCGCGCTCTTCAGAACAAAACTAGCCTTATATCGGTAGGTTTTTCATGCACTAAGATCCATTTTCATCTTCTACGCGGTGGGTGTTTTTCAAAATGAGCTGTTAAAGGCGCTACCATATAGCAGTAAAAAAAACTTACATTGAAATAATATAGTCATGTACATACACAGCATAAGTAGGGATTAATAAGTTAAATTTAAGTTCACAAAATACATATTTTAATGCTATAACAAATATGCGCCCCTTCAAAAGAAAAGATTACGACTAGACGGTTCCCTCAAGTGTCATTATTCTTAAGTCGTATTGTCGAACCTATTCATGAAAAATATAATTTATTTTATGTAGGCATTCTAAAAAGGTACACATATGCTAACTGCCGCAGTGAGTTCCCACAAAATTAGGCATAAGCGTACTCAAATGATTGGGCAACTATTCCTCCTACTCTTTAATGTCGTCCCACCCTAGTTAATCGTCTGCGGTGGCATGAGAGCCATTGATATGATGATGCTGTTGCTGAGGCTGAGTTCGATCCCATCTCCAAATTGTTGCGTCATCACAAATACAAATGAGAACGTCACCCCGATTACTAAACGATGTCTGACGGACGATTGCTGTGCATTTAGGATGAGATAACGTGCTACATCTGCAATATCAGAGAACCATAGCTGCGTTAACATATAGATGCGTTAAGAGTTAGACTTACGAGACCCCTAGGTCTTTGATTACTACCTACGATTGATCGATTCTTAGCGACTGCACGTTTGACAAGCTTTCAATTTAGGTTTACCGTTTTAATTAAATCATTGATCCATTGCATCTGTGTAACGGCTCAAATAGATATACAGTCAACAAAATTATTCTAATAAACCACAATTTACCTTGAATTCTCAAAATATTGAGAAAATTGTAACGTCAAAACATATTGAAATAACCTGAACTTGTGTTGAGAAATGGTCTGTTTCTCAGATGAAATAAGAGTTCCGTAAGATCGATTCAAGCTCCACTTTAGACATTAACTCCCTTTAGGCCATATATTAAAGTAAAAAGTATGTTATAAAATGCCAAAAGGACGATCTTGGGGCTGCAGTAACAGCTGCTTTATTTTCGACGGTGACGAATCATTTAGCCAGTTTGATGGTGAATACTATTCTGTTTAGAAATAAACAGTCTAGGCTATTGTGTTGACTAGATCTCCCGGCTTTTGTAACAAGAAAAATCAACGTTATAATATTTTTGCCGAACTAAGCAAGAAGCATGTATATGTGTGAAAAATTAATGCACAGACACTTTGCGGATGTTGTATAATGCCTAGGAAAACCAGACACTGAGTAAAGTTCAAGTATACAGGTGGTTTAAGCATTTCAGAGGCGCATAGGAGCCCATCGAAGACGATCTTCCTCCTGGAATGCCTGTGACAGTGATTACGGGCGAGAACGTGGTACTCTTCACGGTTTTCTTCGACCGTCGAGGAACCGTTCGTCATAAGTGCATGATCTCTAATTCCACGTCCTTAAAGGAGTACTACTAAGAACTTTTAAGACGATTGCGCAAGTCTGTCCGACGCAAGAGATCAGAACGGTGACGCAGCAAGTCCTGAGTCCTTCATTATGACAACGCATCGGCCCACACTTCATTACTCGTACAGCACCTTTTGATAAAAAAAAAAACTCGACGTTGTACTGCCCCAACGCTTGTATACACCGCACCTAGCCTCCTGCAACTTTTTCTTATGTCTAAATAAATACTTACCAATTTAGAATACCCGACCTGTTGAATGGAAACGGTTACTCACTACTATTTGAATGCCGAGACCATTAAGTTTGATAGCAGGGCACAAATGAAGTCGAAGATGGGCGTGATGCTCACTTACTTGCTGGAAGCAGGATCAGCCACGTCAATATCCCACACAAAGGTTTTTCCCAGTTGGTTTCCAACAGCCAGGTGGCGTTGATCCCTTGAAAGACCAAAACGAAGAAACCAAAACTGCGAGTCGCGGTAATGGAACTGATGAACGATTGTAACAGCTGAATCGGATGGTTTTATCTCCCTCTGCTCCATATAGCCGGGCTTCCAACAGACAATAACCTGTTCGCATGACTGTAGCGCAAGAGAGTTACGTTGAAGGTTACAGGTTCTATTAGACTCATCATTACCAAATAAGTGAACATTTAAACAAGTCATAAAAATCTATAAGCAATAAGCTAACTTATGTATGAGGACATTTAGTTGCACATCAATACTGTTATCGATTCTTCCTGCTTAGTTTTTAAAAAAGAAGTGCACTAAGTCTTTGTTACGTTAAGTTTGAAGACGTACAATGACTAACTACATCAATTCGATCAAAAAAATACAACATTTGATTAAAAGCACAGAAAGAGAAAAAGCTATCCTTCTCTATTCAGTAATATAACTAATTTGAATCTTTTTTTCCTAAAATGTTTTAGTTGTAAAAGGATAACAAACAACACGTTAAGAAAAGATAATATGCTAAAATAGTACTTTGCTTAGTATGAAATTCCCTAGCCATCGAACGCAGTCGACATAATTTTGATGAATATCGCGTGTTGTGAAGTCAGGATAATGCTGGTTGGCAGTAGGGAACGCCCGGCTGTGCTTCATTGGTTGGTATACATACGAGTCGTGAATTGCACGCTGTAGCATTGGCGAATCTAGATGCCAGAGTTTCAGCGAGTGGTCCATCCCGCATGAGATAATCTGTATCGAAATTCAAGAGTTCGGTTCAGCAAACAGTCAGTTATGCTTTAATGAAAACACAAATCCGAAAACATAATAAAACTACAACGGGACGATGTTTTTGCCTACGAATTTTAAATATTCTAAAGGCTATCTAAAGCTAGCTACAAAGCTACAAAAGCTTTCATAGATTGACGATACTCAAACAAGTATTGAAACTACGCAGTATAGAAATGCATAAAATAAGCTTAGGAGCAAGGAGTGCTGCATATACATGGAAATCGCACCCTCTGCCCAAGTAGATCGAAGTCTGCGCTGAGAACTTCATCCCGATGACCCTCGACGCCGCCAAAGATTGCAACACACTGTTCTGTACGGAGATTCCATAGGCGAAGCGTATGGTCCTTGCTTACAGACAATAGAAGATTCGGATCTCGTGGATGAAACTTCACCTCATTAATCGAGTGTCCGTGCCCTGTACAAATAATAAATCCCGTACTTTTCGTGGCAAGAAGTGAATCAGACTCTTTATAACTGTATATACTATATGAACGCCTCCCCTTAGCAATAGGAAGCCAGAAGTGACAATTTTTATAAATTAAAGACGGATAAGCATCGCGAGAAAACAACTCTATTACCGCATACGAAACGTGGGTATTTTTATTTAGTCTCGTGATTTTCTCGTGATTCTGAGATCAAAAGAACATGAGAGTGAAATTTAGGGTTAACGTTTTGTCTTAATGTACTTCTTTCTTATGCCTACGACACATGCAGTACCGTTTGAGCAGTACTATAATGGATAAATAGAGTCAAAGGGTAAAAATTAAAGAATTCTTCGACAGTGCACCTATCAGCTACCCCACGTACCGACGTAATGTTGAACACTTTCCATACGAGCGACATTGATAACACGAATAATTCCTCTGGCTCCCGCCACTGCAAGCAACGGTTCACCCGTCTCATCGTAGCCCCATGCCACGGTATAATACATCTCGTCGGATTCAGGATCAGCGTAACACTGTAGGAGCTTGATAGAGTTTGGTAGGACTTCATACACCGATAACTACACAATCACGAACAAACATTTCGATGTAGTAAGGAATCATCAGCAATCAATGGCTTTATATCTGTCTGTGGCTATCGCCTAAAAACCCTTCCTGCCAGGTCATTAATAAGCAAGCTAGAAGTATACATTTTGTTCCTTAACGACAAGCGATGGTCGGTAAATTACTCCGTGAAGCCTAGCACAGATGAGACAAAACTGTTTCTGACCCTATTGGTGCCACAAGTAGCGAATATATCCCGGTCATCCACATGCGGATTGAACTGAACTCCGAAGAGCGCTTGACCATGCTCCTCCCGTAAGTGACTTGCATACTTGAATGTTGTCCGTCCTGGAGTCTTTTTGCGTCTCTTACTTCGTGCCTCGCCATGCGATCCTACCGAACTTGTATCGTCCTGCCAAATGAAAAAAGCCTGTAGAAAAAATTCTGACACACCCCGCTATAGCACGACCACAAAATATTTATTAAATAGTTTTGTTGATCATAACCTGGATGTTTTGGAAGTTAATTCGAAGATGATTAAACGTGGAGTAAGAAGACTTAACTGAAGAAGATAATTATAATATAATTGTTTGACCGGTCAATAATTTTTATCAGAAAATTTCTCCGATGAAACACGTTTAGGCCAATAGCCGCTCACCGACCGGACTGAACTGAAGAGAGACTCACTGGCCTTCACCAAATGCACCAGAAGCTACAACAAAAGCCTTCCCTAGGTAAAATAGACTTAAACATGACGACTATTGATTCACTTACGTTGTCATTAGCGTTAGCATCTTCGTGATCCGACTCGACGGATGCTGGGGCAGACTTCTCTTTTTCGTGCGAAGTGGCGGGCGCCTGTGATTGGGACTGTCGACCTCGCATCCTTTCGGACATTCAATGCAGGAGGACTTGATTTTCTTTGTATAACAATTCCAGAAAACTATTAGTTAACCATCCCTTTCCACTTTCCTGTATACCAATTTAAGCGCATATGACAATGGCAAACGAGTAAATTGGTTTGGCTGTCGTTTTCTGAAATGAGAAGCATCTCATTTGGCTTAGCCGAAAGATCCGTTACATTTTCCCAATTGAGTTACCATACGAATTTTTGCATCACCGACCTCCCTTGTATCATTAGCTACGCCACGATTATCCACGGTATGGACGGAAGAAAAAAATAGTAATTAAACACCCAGCAGATCGTAGTCACCGACTTTACGACTGTGCAAAACACTCGAACGGTAACAAAGTTCACTCACAACTCATTGCCGCGACGCCAATGTTTACCAAGCATTAGATCTGGAGCAGACACAACAATATTCGAACATGTCGCTGCCAGCTGGAGCTGAGCGCCAAATTCGAACTTGACAACAAAAAATGAAAACATTCGGAGCTTTATTCAAGACAACGAACTTGCCAATAGTCGAGTTGAAAATGTTCTATAGATTATTCTGCAATACGAGCGAACTATAAGTGAATGAAATGATTTATGCTAACAGCAGGCCAGAAGCCAAATATCAACTAGGAGTAGTAGTTTTCAGGACGTTTGATTAATAATGTAGTATGTTCAGTTTTGTATTTTTACATACACAAATCTGTGCTTTTACGCTAGCGAACTTCCGTCATCAGATATTTAATGTCTGCACCGTTTATGCTGATGGTAGCATTGCTTTCAGGACGGTATATAGTCGTGTTTCTTTCCTAGAAGCCATGTCTACCGTTTTTTGTTCGCGTTGCGTCGTGTATATTCTTTTTTCTTATCTATCTTCTTTCTCTTACTACGTCAATCGACACTACTTGTGCCATCCTTTCCACTGAGAAGATGAACCAAAACCAGTGTACAGTGGAAAATGGTGAAAGAGATTGCTTGCGCTTCTATTCGGATCTAGACTAGGTAACGTACCTTAGTGTTTTTGCAAATACATTTGCGGGAATTTGTGTGACCATAAATACTGTTATTATTATTCTGGGCCACATAGCAGCAATAACTCAATCGCGTATAGCTATACTCATGCCCTCTATAAAAATATTTCCAAAAGAAAACACCAAAATGCTCACGTCTTCCAACGTTAATTTGTTGGAAGAAATACATAAGTAACGAGGACTACCAACTGTTTTGAAAATACATTTTTCTTATTTTGGCAGATCCAAATTTTAAAACCTAAAACTTTTGAAAATCTGAAAAACCTAAATTTAAATTTTTACTCCATTTATGTTATTATATTAAAAGTATACTGCTTAGGCTCCGCACCATTTTTAACCTTACTTATGTGTCTTTTGCCATTCTTTGTATTCGGCGTGTTACCTGTGTTTAGATTATCATTATTGTTGAAATATCTACGGACCTAATAATATTCGAAGAGCAGTGTTGTCCTTCCTATATTTTTTTAGGTCTTATTGAATTAGGGGGTTGACGTACGCCGATATAATACGCGCACTCTTTTCCGATTAATTTAATACCCTCGTTAAAAAATCGATCAAAGCTACAGAATGCAAATGATCTCAGGAAGTATCGTGGATGTAGCAGGCGAGATCTCCTTTCCATCTGTTCGTTGGAGATCGCTTACTGGAAGCCTGAAACATGGCGCAACATTTGTGTGGTTCGCTTTTGTCCGAAATTGAATGTACGTAGATTAGAAAATTAAGGAGGTTCATATTTAATACCGTTCTATGTTTATTGCAGCCTAGTTTGGCATTACTCTAATACACCTAGAAGCTAAGCATGTAAGTAAATGGTCACGACATTAGATCATTGAAGGCTAGTCTGGAGAACCGAAATATATCTTAATAAACAAACAATGCTACAATATGCCAACAATGTCAGTGGAAGGACATATGTCAAAAGTCACTACAAGGTCTACAAAGGCGTCGCTACGCACGCATTTTTTGACTTTTTTAGTAATAGTGAAGCCTAAAAGATTCGAGAGCCTTAAGCTATGAAGTATTCCAGGCCGAGGGTCCAACAACTTGTGTCTGTATATACATGCAGATCGGTTTATGCAAACATACATGCAAATATACTTTATACAATAAACATGTAAGTTTGTCAAATTTAGAATTCAGTTTTTCGAATGAATCAACCGCTCCCATAATCCGTGACGGAATTAACTGTGGCGCGAGACTTGTAATTTAAACCTATAGGGGCTTATTTTTTAAATAGGGCCAAAATAATCGGAAAACTATGATGCGAAAAATAGTAAGGGAAAATAAATAAACTCCGTCTTCCATTAATATATCGCCAATATTTTAGTGACTTAGAAGCTGATAAAAATCAATTAGCGAACACTCTAAGATAAAAGGCAGGAAGTATGGTTATCCAAATTTAACAGTCCATTTAATGCGCGAGGTTTACGAAATCAAACGAGTATCCTAAACGAATTCGCAGTGGCACTAAATATGTTTTAAGGTTACGTTTATATGGTAATGCCACGTCTCTAGAAATCGATAAGTGCCTATTAAACATAGCTCCAGAAGTGGAGACTTCTAGAGATTTTCTTGATACCAGTAATTATAATTTGTATATAGCTCAATTTCAAACCGCACAGATCTATGTGATATGGAACGAAGCATGATATTGACTTGAAAAATAGACGATTGGAAGTTATATTAATCATCAATATTGCAATTATACATATAGCTGCTAACGTTCGCTGCACAAAGTAAGCGTATTTTGTACTAAAAGATACGACGTTGAAATTATTTCTAATGGTATTACGACCTTTCCTAGTTCGACTTCAGGTGAACGTCGCTAGAGAGCTGATGAACAATGAGTGAGAAACCAGAATACTATCTTGGGTTGGACCTAAGCACTCAGCAGTTGAAAGCTGTTATCGTCGAAGCAATTTTGGATTTCTCGACAGGACCACCACACTTTCCTAGGATTAAAATCGTGTGTAAAGAAGAAGAACATGTTGCTTTCGATCGGCTTGGATATGGTACTAATTCAGGTGCCCTTTGTAAAGGGCCACACGAAGTGGTTGCTCCCACAAGGATGTGGGTCGACGCTTTAGATACTATCCTAGATAGGTATGTAAAATAGAAATCTAAGATAAATATTCAGTCAAAGTATCGGAGGCACGCATATAAATTTTTTTTTATATCACATTTGTTAATAGGCATTTTTTCATTATTCATATTATCTTCGAATTTGGCGAATACATAATCTTTATAGTCTAAACGTAAGTTATTTTTATAGGTTAAAACCTTTTATTATCCTAATTGACTGATATCTCGTTCTAAATAAGAGAACATTATGAATAGAAGCATAATATTGTTTTTAAATAATGTTATGGTACCTTAAGATAACATGTAAACTATTGTTTTTCGTCTCAGATTACGGCTAAAGGCGGATTTCAGTCGGATCGTCTGTATTGGTGGTTGTGCTCAGCAACATGGCACCGTTTACTGGAAAGATCCATCAACGCTTCGTGAAATGAACCCACTCAAGTATATTAGTATCTGTAGTTGATAGTTTTAACCAATATCATCATCAACACCTGTATTGGCAACTTTGCACGTACAAAACTGGATTGTTTCGCATATGCACACTATAGTTCCTTGGAAGTGTATTATACATTTGTCGACCCTGTCGATTTGCACACCAAGGTTCGTGTAAAGAACTGACAATAAGACTAATTAATATAAAACTATTTAGATTGTAAATAAAAGATCGTCAGCGTGTACGAATTCGAGCTCCGTTTCGGCGGATTCATACATATATTTGATATTACAATGAATGGTGTTCGACCATTTAGTGTCTAGAACTCGACAGAGCCAATTACGTCCTGTAATACGCCCAAATACGAGGCTCCGATCGGTGCGTTGCAATTTGATGGTCAGCGCTATGAGATGGGCGAAATCGTACATGGCATAGTGAAAGCCGTCCAACCTTTGGACAAAGCGGGGTGTATCAGATTTGATGGCAGTAAATGAAAAGGCGGACTCAGGGGACTAAGCGGGAAATACTTCAAAAACAATGGTCCGAGGACCAAATGCTGCTAAGAGTCAGAACGTACGTGAGTAAAGACCGCTGGTATGGTACGACTGCGAGGTGGTAGAGACTAACATGTGGGAAAAATTCAAGGAAAAACTAACAAATCAATGTTCAAGTTTAAAGAAAGAATTAAGGTGCCCAAATAGTTCTTCAATTCCATTAGGACCCGTAAAAGAAGATTGTAAATTTCGTCCAGGCCAAGCGAGTACTGTTTAAGTAGGTAAAGTTTAGCATGTCTAGTCAAAGTGCAACGGACGGTAAAATTTGTCGCTTCTATATCAGGGATGAAATAGGTTGTGCTATTAAAACCGATTTTCGGTTAACTCGGTAACGGCAACGAGGATTCAAGCCCCGCTTTGTGTCGGTATTCTTCGATTATGAGGTGTATGTGTATAAACTGGGAACCTTCTGTAAGGTACCATTTTAGCGGCAACAATAACAGTAAAAAACGAGTGCTCGTTAGCTGCAAATAGCAGCGGTCCTTAAGGAAGATTGGGGGGAGGCAGACCTTCGAAGCGTAGGGGTTGCGCCCTTCCGCGGCTTACCGAACTGTTAGTTTTATCAGTTTTTCGCAAAGTATATCTAAACGCTTCCAAGGCCATTCGCGAGTTGAGGATACAATATTACACGGACAGGGGACTCTAATTTCAAGCTCAATAGCCCTTCCGTAGTTATAAGGTTTGCCTTCGGACAACGAACACTCACAAAAGTCCGCTGCTCTTAACATGAAAGCATCCATCAAGCTTAAGAACTAGCACAAGCGAGGGAGCTTAGCCGGGATTTGTGCGAAATGCAAACCTAAAATAAAGATCGTTGACCACGCAAGCGGCTCGCGGCTTTAATGAATATTTTCACTGTGTTGTAATAGATGTTTTCATCATGTTACAATACAACGAATCATACGTGGATATTCGATGCGTGTAAACTACGAATTCAACAACATGTTAACTAGCTATTACTACTGACTTCATTTCATGATTGATGACCTACAATTGAAAGTGCATCCGTTTATCTGTTGTAGATCTCTGCAGGAGAATCTAAAAGAAGCATTTTCAATCGAAAACTCTCCCATTTGGATGGATTCCTCGACGACGAGCGAGTGTCGCGAAATGGAAACTGCGGTCGGCGGGGCCCAGGTCCTTGCAGAGTTGACAGGCTCACGCGCCTTTGAACGTTTTAGTGGACCTCAAATTGCTAAAATAGCTAATGAAAAGGCTTCTGAGTATAATCTGACGAAGAGAATATCCCTTGTGTCCAGCTTTCTTAGTAGCCTTTTTGTAGGTCAGTCGTACTATTTGGCTAAGTATTTCATGATTACTGTTTGCTCACTTATAAAGGATTGCCGAAAATGCACAATTTAGTTTATAACCTTGCCCCCTCTGGGCTATGTGAGAGTATAGCGTGCATACATTTAATAACATGATGAACTAAATGGCAATACACAATAATGCAATGGTGATAATAATAATACAGGAAATAGCGCAATATCGTGCCTTTCGAATTCGACCTGTTTTGAAGCGTACATGAGGTATAATAGCTCGGAGCAATACGAGGGCGTACTGAAAAAAAATAGCATACGAAAAATAGCCCAATAACATGCCTTTCCAATTCTACCTGTCGTGAAGCGTATACGTGGTGTAATAATCCGGAGCGATATAAGCACATACCCATAGAAAATTGTAATTACAGGGCTTTCCTCGCAATTGTACATACGGACTGAGACAGACTCTAAGCTAGTTCTTGGATTAAATTTCACAAGATCAGACGGACTTGTATCTCGTATCTTGTACAGGTAACATCGCTCCAATTGACGTAAGTGATGGCTCTGGTATGAACTTAATGGATATCCGGACTAATTCGTGGAACCATACTTGTCTACGGGCTTGCTTCGCTCGATCTCCGCCTGAAGTGCAATATGAAAGTGCGCAGATTCTTTTTAATAAACTTGGCGGTGATGCTGGCCTTGTACCAAGCGGTGATGACTTAGGCCCTGTCAGTAATTATATGCAACGCAGATTTGGCTTCGGCCTGCACTGCCGCGTGGCTGCATTTACAGGTGAGGGCCAATCTGATTAATCAGTTTTATAAAAAAAATGGCAAGATGGCATTTTCAAGTAGTTCGAGCAAGTAAAATGTCCTAGATACATTTGTAGCCTTTTTTTTCCTTTTTGTCCCGCAGAATAGCTCTCAATACTCTCTTTGAGAAAATTTTTGAGACATATATTTTTAACAACATGCAGTTCAGCTCGCGCAGTTGATTTTCATGCGTATCCATTTTATTGTAACCATTTCATTGCAACCCACAGGAAAAATCGACGTTACGCAAAGTTATCCCGACGCTACTTATGTGTTCAAAAGCGTGGCCACGAAATGTTTAATGAACATGATTACATGTGATGTTTAACCAAAAAACGTAGTTCATTTTTGGCTGAATTTTTATTTTTTCAATGTTAAACTTTTACAAGTGAGCCCGGTGAACCCTAAAATTGAATAACTTTTGAACTAATTATGTTAGAATGATGATCTTTTTATTTGTATTAAAGGTGCTCAGCGCTTCCCCTAGCGCACTGGCAGCTTCCGAACAATCATATACCGACCATTCGTATTCCTATACGTAATTTCTCTATTTATGCCAAGCTAATTAATAGTGGCATATGTTGAAGCACCAGTTGCCCTTTTTAGGCCACCAAAAGTCCCATAATCGTTTAATTGATATGAACTTAGAACGGAGGAATAAGCGGGTTGAATCCAACATTGGATATTCTTTCGTTCAATCCCGGAAGCAAATGAAGCACGACAATGAGATTTGACCTCATTATCAAGTAACTAGATTGCATGCTTTTGATTATTGTGTCAACTATTCATGAGTCTCTTTAGGAATTCGAACTAGCGGGCCACATTCATTTCAATTTCGATGAGTATCCATTGCAAAAATTGTTATCACCTAACCTGAATTTACTTGACGCTACTGCCGAACTCGATTTCTCTCCAATGTAATGCCATTCCCTGGAAGTAGAGTTTGAACCATGACTTGTTTACGACGACTATATGCTCCTGGCAAGTTTTTTGGTGAATAAAGTTCCATCAACTGCTTGTAGCATTTCTAACTGATCATAAGTTAACTCACAGAAGACTCATTTTTTACTTTTCCCGCGTATGGATCGTATTTCTGTACGTTTAAAATGCCAGCTTTGACCGATAGAGCCAATATACTTTTCCTTTACTTTAGTGCAAATTTGCGACGATGCGTTTCTGTTCTTCAAAGACAAACCCCTGGTCATCCCAATTTCGCTCAAGACCTCCTTGTCTACTCTTCATTAATCTTTTATACATTTCTGCAGCGCTGCGGCACTCAAGGAACAAAAATCTGACCATTGATTGAGTGTTAATTTTCGAGGCTAAAACATGTTTTTCTTTGTGAACTTCTTTCCTATAGAATAAATCTAACGGGTTTCCAGTCATGAATTTTTAGAAGACTGGAGTGCGCTAGATTTGCGTGTAATGCTTTAAAACTATAATAGCACTTCAAGAGAAATGGTATCCTGCATTTCATTCGAGTGGGAAGCTGTTTCTTAATCACACCTCTGAGCTACATGACCGGGCAAAGGAAAATAAATCCATACGGCGATATATATATATATATGAAATAGAGGAATGAAAAAGAAATATACAGAATGAAATAGTTTAGTTTAAAAGTTCGAGTAAATACACGCTTATGTTTATATAAGTGTCTGTGAAATGTTTGATCCTGCAAAGCAGTAACAAAGTTAAGGCAGTCCATTTTAACAGAATTTTATTTATACATCTATATTTGAACTAATAACGAGCGTGTATTCATCCGCGGGTCTATTTATGGCGGAGGCTGGAAGTTTGCGTTCAAAATTTGAGAGCAGAATGCTTTGTTTGCTTCAGGTTTTGCGTCGACGGTCTACGTTATTGGTATTATTACACATGATGCTTCCAAAAAAATCCATGACCCAAGTCAGAAGATCTACAGTAGGAATTCAGCTGAAATGTCGTAAGAGGTAGTTTCTAATGGCCCGAAAATATCAACCAAGAAAGTAAAGGCTGTTTTCCAAAACTACCTTTCTGCCGGCATTTCGTTCGAACAAGTTGTAGTTTCTCCATTGAAATTCTGCGTTCTCCAGATATCAGCTTTTTACGCCATGTTGATTAATTTTCAACCATTTTCATTTAATCCCTACATTAGATCTTCGATTTCGAATATTCTAGGTTTTTCGCTCTTGTCCTCCTAACTACCTTCCTTGTGTCTTCTCGTATTTCATAATCGTTCTTGACTTTTATTTTTTAAGACTTACAGTTAAGATATCAGCCAAAATGTATGTTTAGATTATTTGTTTGTGTAACTGAATAAAGGACCAGTGAATCTACACGTATTATAATCGCTTTAATGATGATTAGCATTAAAATATTTCAATTAGAATTTCGTTAACTTAGAGAAGGAGCTATACTTATGAGCAGTTTAGAATTTGAGTTTAGACCGAATAAAGCCGTGACTGAAACAAACAGTAGTTGTATGTGATTAAGTACATCTGTGAAGAATGTCTTCCTAGGTTTGCATAAAGATCTTTTAAAAAATGATTTCCATTAAGGCAGAGCTAAGGAGCAAACGACAGTAATTCTGTCCCAATTTGTAAGTACATTATACAAATAAAGTTAAAAAAAAAAATCAAACATATTCCGAACGTGTTACATGCGTGGAATAAAATAACAACGCAAGAGTATGCCATGTGTATAAAATTATTATTGAAGTATTTCTGATTTATTAAAGATTTAAGTCAAAAAATGAACAATCACATTATGATTTTTTGCTGTAGGTGACAATCCAGCCTCATTTACAAGCCTTTGTGGTAGTCCTGGCGATATGATCCTGAGTTTAGGCAGCTCAGATACACTTCTCTTTTGGGCTGAAAAAGATCAGCCTGGTTGTCTGCAAGGTCATTTTATGGTAAACCCGCTAGACCCAAAGAGCCTTATGGGAATGCTGTGCTTCAAGAACGGTAGCCTTATGCGTGATAAAATTGCCAAAGAATTAGCTGAAGGTAATTTCTGAGAACTTCGTAATTAATCTTTGTCATATATTTGCTAAAGTCTATTTTTATACGAGAGCCCTCTCTACTTCCGCACTCCGTATAAACCGCACGATTATGGGTATGTCCGTTAACCGTTACATAAATAAAAAAATGTTGATAATTTGCAAAATTAAAGCAATAGAAGGTGATGTATATCATTTTATTAGTACGCTACGATCATGCTGACACCAACTGAAATTGTATTTTTAAATCGGTCAAGGGAATCTGGAGAGTTTAGTTTTTGAAATTGTTAGTAACGACTGACATTTGCTGATTACGATAAACACCTTTATTTCGTTATGTAGGTGATTGGGAACGTTTTAACTGGTTACTGAATTCTACGCCGCCGGGAAATAATGGAAAAGTTGGCGTATATTTTGATTTTCCGGAAATTCTACCAGAACGACAGGGAAGATATCGATTTGATATCAGTGGCCCTGAGTCCGTTGCCATAAAACAGCCATTTGCTCCTGAGGACGAAGTGCGCGCCCTTGTTGAAGGTATTCATCTTTCAAGCTACTTGCTCAAAACTAGTCAGATTTGCAAACAAATGCACTGCTTGCTACTATTTTTATCTCTAGTATACTTATAGGATACATATGTATAATCTAATGATAATGTTCTAGCGTATAAGTTGCATTTTTGTTTAATCAGACTTTATCGAACTTCCCACGGCAGCTACTGCCTCTCTAGAATCTATCATCTGATAAAATGCGCTTTTCATTCTCTAGTTAAGATGATATACCTTTTTACCTAGAAAATAAAATATACATTTATTTTAGTAAATAAAATATATAGAATATGTACATTTGAGTTAACTATTACAACTATGATTAATATCACTCTATTCATATTTTAGGTCAGTTGATGTCAAAGCGTCTCTATATAGAACGTCTACAAAGTACGGAAAAGCTCAGAAATAACGTTTCGGGCAAGTTAGTAGTTACTGGTGGTGCTTCAGCTAATCGAACGTTGTGTCAGATTATTGCCGATGTATTCAACATGCAAGTGTGCACGCTAGATGAATCTGTGAACTCGGCAGTTTTAGGCGGGGTCGCTCTTGCATACCATTGTGTTAAGGGGAAATCGTTCGAGGGCAGGAGATTGTTCCACACGGAATCGAGAATCGTAAAAGAACCCAAAAATTCGGGTGTCTATGAAAAGTTATTACCAAAATTTAAGCGCTGTCTCGAATGCCATGATCTCCTTTAAAACTCTAGGTATAGAGAAAATACCTAGCTAAAATTTGATTTGGTTAGCGTTTATATCGGGTTCATCTGAATTAAATCATTCTAATATTAGAGTTATTATTTGTTAGTTTAAAGTGGAAGCGGCAATAGATGCGCTAGAGTAAAGTCTACTTTTAAAGTACTTCCAGAAGGCAGACATTCCATATTTGAAAACAATATTTTTCGGAAATAAAACGCGTATATTTTACATTATTGTTCACGAAATATATCGCGGTATCTTTACTTTATTATAATTTGTTGCATTTAATAACTTTTTAGATTACATTATCTTAGGATAAAGGCGGAACTTGCTCGTCTTGAGCAGTGCCACCCAGTGTATTGACACTAGGTAACTCTTCTATTGATTGTTGTATACTTTTAGTAGACAGAGCTTCCAATGGAGTCTCTTGAATATCCAGTACTTCGAGGTTTTTCATGGAAGGACATTGAGTTGAAGCAGACATTCTCATAATTGTCGCTCCCTGAAAAATCAGATTTTCCATTTACTATGTTGTCTCTATACTACATTAAAGCTATTATTGAAGTTACTTTATATATTTACACAGATTGGGTGTTATGTTTCTTTCGAGGCATATTTAAATCGAAACTATAACGGATCATCTGATACACATGATTGGTAATATATATTGTGTATTTATAAAGTATATGTATACATATATATATTGAAGCAGACTGGCTTAGGTTTGTTGTTAGCTGGTTAGTACAAGTGGATTTATTTATATATTTGCCTTGCATTTACTTATTGCAAATCTATAAACGGAACTTGCGTTAACTTGTGGGAGAATAGCCGCGTTACTACGTATACAACCATGGCAATGCGACGTCGAAGACGAACAGAAGCCCGGTTGTGCGGGTCTGTTACCGTGCAATTGTGCGAAACATTGCCGGTGGCGTCAAAACAGGTAATTATGCCACTCGCGGATTAACGTCGGAAGCATAATTCTGCCCGAACGCGCCCATGGAGACCAGGAAAAGGTTCACATTTGTTAAATGTACTGAACGCAAAAGAGTACAGCCCGCGGGCTGAGGATGTTCCGCCGGAAAAACGTCATCGAGTTGTAATCAATCAACCATTAGAGGCATGTGAGTATACGTGGATATAAGTGCTAAGCGAATTGCTGTAAAGCCCGCGATTCTGCCAATTGAAGAAAACAGATAGCCAATCCACCTCATCGAGTATTGAATAT